ATGACACTCTGATACCATGTGAAAATGCAAGAGTAGAGAGAGAGAGAGATAGAGATGATACAATGAGAGAGTGCAAAGATGGAGGCGCTGCCTCTATATTTCATTAATTAATTCAACCCTAAACATAAAATGGTAAATATACAATACAAGAAAGGCCTATTTGCATAATGGCCACAAACCCTATATCTAAATACAATCTGACCCCAACATAAATATATATTTACATATAAATATTCTAACACTTATAAATTTACAAACGCTGCATTGGAAAGCATGGAAATATGGAATTGGTGCCTCGGATTCAGAATTGAAAAAAAATCAGTGCAAAGTTTAAACTAAATTTTGCTCAAATTCCATTTCCAAGACGATGATTCCATGCTCCCAAACATAGCTAAAGCTATATACTTAAAAAAAATTATATGTATATACAACAACGACAACAAAAAACAGAGCCTTTCCCCAACTAAGTTTTATTCTTCTAATGAGTTGTCCTCCATCCACATTTGATTGTGATAATCTCAAGTGTGCCAACTCATTCACAAGTTTTGCGTCTCTCTGCTTGTTGCATCCTCTTCTCTGCAAGATGCAAATCTTTCAAGCAAATTTGTTCTTCTATACATTCCGATTCAATTTGCAATAATAATCAGAGATCAACTTCCACTTGCACTAAAGATTGCTTCTGATGCAAAACCATTAGCATTTCATGGGCCATGATGGATAGCACAGGGTCCATGCACTCTCCACCAGCCAGAACTATCAAATAATTTGTCATCAACCTCTTCAACTATAGTTAGGTATCGTCGTAATTCTGAGGAGGCAAAAACATTGCTTGACCTCTTTCTTCTACTTATGAATATTTTCCAACCAAAAACTACTCCTGTATAACCTATATCTGATGGAATGTTATGAGGATCATGAACCTGAGGTGATCTACGAAGGTGTCCTATCTTGACCTACATTTTCTTACAATGCTCATATAATTAAAATAGTTTTGCTTTCTTTTACAGGAGTTAGAATTAAAATTGTCAAATCTAAATAAGTATTTAGACATTCTAATTTACACCTTGGGTCCAGCACAAAGGCAATTCCAAAAACTGATGATAATTTTTCCAATATTTGTCATATTTCTTAGGGGTGAGCAAATAATCCGTCAATCTAGTCCGAACCAATCTGATCCGTATGGTTCAGTTCGGTTTTCAGATCTCGTGGTTCGGTGATGGTTTAGAAAAATAGTAATCCGCTATTCGCGGTTCGGTTAACGGATTGGGCGCTGGAAAAACCGATTCGATCCGTTAACCGAACCGATCCGAACCATTACCTTAATTATTTATTAATACTATATATATATATATAACCATATATATACTTACTGTATTTCTTTTCTTTTTTAAAATTCATTATTTAAGACTTTAAGTTAACCCTAGGTCACCAAAGTCATTAGTCATTACAGGTTTTTAATTACTAATTTGAGATTTTAATGGCCATAAAGTGTAACCATATTGAGCTGTTTGAAAAGCCCAATCCGCGGAAACTGAACCGATCCGATCCGTTATTTCACGGATCGGTTTGGTTCGGATTGAAGGTCCCCACGGATTGGTTCGGTTTCAAATTTCACCAATCCATGGGGACTGGATTGGATTGAACTTTATCCCCAAACCGAACTGAACCGATCCGATCCGTGATAAGCCCTAATATTTCTCTTGCATTGCAGTTTCAAATATGTCCAGTTGAGAATGATATTTGTATGCCATACAAATCTTGGTTAACTAATGAAGTAACTGACAAGATGTGAGGTAATGAAGAAAATCCTTTGTTGTACTTTCAAATTTTTCTATAAAACAAACTTCTAAAATTTCTACAACCTTCCTGTCCAATTGTTCGGGGGCTTGCAGTGGAGACCTGCAATAATTTTGAATTAATTCAAACTAATATGAATCTATAACTTTTTTCTATTTCACAGCTACTTTCTAAAGTTCATAGGTGGAATCCCACTAATAAGGAACAACATTTGGTATATTTCTCTTTCTACACTTAAATGTTCAGCGACATCCGACGTACAATTCATGTCATAGTTGAGAAAAATTAATATTACTGAAAATATTTTCAATTTTTCCAATAGAACTGGTTTATGTTAATTATTCAACTAGTTCAAGTAAATTAACAATATGACAACATCAGCTCAAATGAAATAAACTTCGCGTAATAGGTAAATTTAGAACATTTTATGTGTTGTTTCAGCTACATTGTTGCTCACAGCATTATCTAATGATGATGAAAAATGTTATTACTTAAGTCCATTTTGTGAGCTCTCCTATGTCACTCAATATAGTCCAACCCGTATAAGGGGTCTCTATCACCCTAAAGTACTTATTCTTTTATTCTCCACTCATCATGATATCCACCGAGGGTTTATGTTCCCATAGGGGCATGTCGGTGTGTGAGTTTCTTGTCAGGATATATAAATGTGTGTGTGTGTGTGTGTGTATATGTTAAAGAAATTCTACCATCATAATTTATATATATATATAAAGCTTTTTACTTTCCTTTCTCATTACCCAAACATTTCATTATATCTCTCTTAGTTGTGGTTGCTAGAAAAAAATATGAATAAAAAGCCCAAACAGTGGAATAAAAGGGCCATTCTGTTCATGTATCATTCTTGTTCAATTCCATGATGCATTGCATTCCTGCTCTGGCTGCTTCATTTCATTCATGCATGCTAGTCGTAGCATAAAGGTTTAAAGAAAAAAGACTAAGAAATAGGTCAAATATAACTTCAGGATTATAAACAAAATCATAGTCAAGCTTACTAACCAAGAAATACCATTAGTAGGCAATTCAGTTTTCTTCCATCAATCATCCATGACAAAGTAGAGAGCAATTAGTAAACAACAATTCATCTTCATTGATAAATAAATTCATGAAGAATAGATGAAGTGGAAAACGATGTACTTCTAAAATGTCTTTAAAGTTGAATTCCCATAGAAGTGGAGGAAAATTGTACTACACTTGTTATAGGCTACAGCCACAATACCAAAGATGCTCTAGGAAACAAAATGTTGAGCAGTCAAGAATATTAATGTCTATAAAAAGACCAGATAAAATGATGGTGTACAATAGTTGAGCAGACATGCAAGAAAAGAAAATAATTTGTGCATATGAGATAGTGGTAGTATATGCATATAGTGAGGACAGGATGAGAATACGCTCCCAGGGAATGAAAAACAATGGCGAGCACATCCACAAGTGGAATGTGATTCAAGTTTAAGGCAAGACACAGGCCATAAAATAATATTGATCAAAGCAAGGAGAAAAGACACATGGTCTATAATTAAAACCATGAAAAAGTAGTCATCATATAGCCCATCGGACATATTTGAAACATGACAGTATGGCTTTGTTGTATTAAAAAAGTTCTGCACGAAATTATATTTTACCTTCTTACATATTTAACCATTTTCTTTACTCACTATTTAGCACGCAAAATTTCATATAATTTATTCCACAATTTAAAAAATTATTCTTTTCTAGCTATGCTACACCCTCCTGAGAGGGCTGACAAAAGGTTAGCCCCATCTATGAGGGATGTTGAGAGTGGAAGACTGGAGATATGCCTAAACTTTGACATTATTTAGTAAAAAGTGGCTCCTCTCGTACTTAAATTCGGTGTCCTCACACTTATCTGCTAAGCTTTTACCATTTAACCAAGCAATGGGTCCTATGCTCCTGAAAGTTGAGAAACTGTTTAAATATGTTGTAAGTTGTTTGTTGCTCATCAATATTTTCTCTTTCATTTTAAATTCCATTAGTGGAACAATTTTCTAGTATATTACAATACTAACCAATAGGCATGTCCCTAATGCATTAATGCATACACCTTACACTAAGTTTTTAACCTTAAAGAGACCATTCACAGGGCAACAAGGCCTTTCAGAATTGTCAGCAGACTCTGTACCATGTCCATGCATAATTGTTCTCTTCTGAATAGAAAAATATGTTAATTTACAAGTTGTTTCATAGTGGCATATCGCGATCGTAATGCTATGCCTCTACTGTGTGGTAAGCAAAAGGTAAAGACACCAATGGTGAAACTCATCCCATTACTTCCCCTACCTGCTAGATTCCTTCAAGAGAGTGAGAAATACAATAAAAAATCAAGTCCAAATAATAATAAAAAATAAATAAAAGAAAAACAATCACTAACAGTGAGGAGTTAATGACTAACTCAAGTCCAACACCACGAGCTCCAGAACTTTCAATAAATATGCAACATATTTATGCAAAAAAGGTCATCGTAAACATACCCAACCAACCTTTAGCCTGAAGAGACCAAGCAACAGGCTTTATTTTAATTCTAATTAGAACAACTGTGCAGTAGAAAAAAAGGGTGAAGAATTATACTTCTAAGAAAGCAAGATGCACCACCAAGGTCTTATTTAAATTCTAGTGGCACTTCCTCACCTTCCAAAATAGAAGGTCAAAGGTTCAAGTCCCCTCAGGGGCAAAGTGGGTAAGTGTGTGAGTTTCTTGCCAAGGTAAAAAAGTTTGCCATTCCTATAAGAGAGAGGAGGAACGGAGGGACTGAGTAAACAAAAATCCCAAATACATCATGCATCTATATGCATCAATGGACAAAGAGTTAAGAAATATAATTCAAGCAAGCAACGAGATTATTGCCGTGCCTGTAAATAGGGGAAACTATGATTAAAAATGAGCATTAAAGATTCATCAAGATTTAGATGATTTTAAATACTCAGCACAAATATTTCTATAGAGTGACAATGGGGGCTAAACAAGATGACAAGTATCTGGAATTAAAATTAAAAACAAAATGAAAAGGAAAACCTCTGATCCCAAGGTGCCAAGATCCGTCACAAGATGAATTCACAAATCTCAGTTATAGGAAAACAAGAATCTAACATAACACTAAATCTTTGAAACCTAGTGCAGCACATGAGAGAATATGATGGTATTAGAATATCAGATACGGAGTTACTAACGTGTGGTTGCTCAACCAAATTAAAAGTACAGGTTCCATAATCCAAGTCTGATTTTGAACTTGATCCCTCTTTCTTTTCCTCTAACCATTTTTTTGCTTCCATGACAGCTTTATTGCAGAGACCAGGAATATCTGCAGTATAATTAACACCATTAGTCGTATATAAGTACTGTGCAACAGAATTCTAGTCTTTCTTTGTGTTTTCAGAGTCCATGAAAAGAAATACCATTGGCAACTGTTCTGCTTGGTATCTCACTTAGTCTTCCATCCTGTCCCACTTTTATATTGGAACAATCCACAGCTCGTGAATTAATGATCTTTATAAGTCTGTCACTTTCTTCCCTGGTCAAAGGTTAATACCATTCAGAATTCAAAAGGTTTGACTGTAGCTAAGAAAAGAAAAAAGTGCAGGATAGGCAGAAAAAAACATAATCTTGTCAGAGAAATAAGTAAAACTAATCGAATTACTGCCTGCATGATTAAAGTGATCGAATTGCTGCCTGCATGATTAAAGTTAATGAAAATGTACAATGCAGACATATACAAGAGAACAGGCATACCCACAGACATGAGAAGATGATATCTTGAATAGCAGTTCCCCATTTATTTAATGCAAAAGGCAGAACAATAAACAAACTAAAACAGAAAATTTAAAGTAACAAAAAAGTGGAGCATAGACAAAAGGGTCATTCCCCAGTGTGGTCACAGTTAATCAAGGGTGTAGGGAGGGGAAAATTGGAAACAGACGTAACTTTGCCATTGTTTGCACAAAGTGGCAGCTCTCAGGATCCGAACAGGAATACTCACACTTGACAGTCCAAGAATCCCATTGCACCAGGCAACATCCCAATCCACCACCTTGATAAAGTACAACTTAACACCAGACATACATTTATATTAATTCTTTCCAGCCAATTTTCATCTGGTAAACCAAAATGCAGAGTGAAACCCATAAACATCTCAAAATTAAGTTTATGCAATTTGAAAGGTGAAGTGCAGATTTACAGCTAATGGCAGTTAAACAGTACAGAAAGAGTAGCCTGTCTCTCAGTTCCTTGACTTTCAGGTTCCGTCTCACAGCCTTGATTGTAGGTTCAAATATTTTCTTTTTTATGTCTTTACTTGGATTGATATCTTGAATACCAGCACAACATCCACATAATGCAACAGGCATTTAGGGTTAAGTGCAAAAAAAACCCCTCTACTATCGATATAATGCAAAATAGTCCCTGTGTAGTGTAAAACACCCCTATACTATTGATTTGGTGAAAATAGCCCCCTGAAGACTTAAAATGACGATAATACCCTCATTTCAGTAAAATAAAATAATAATTTTAAATTCAGACTATGTAAAATGACCATTTTACCCTTTTATTATCTACCTTCGCTGTTATGTCTTGTGTGGCTTTGGCAGTATTTTTTTTGCTTTAGCAGCTATTACCTGGTTCACTCCCATAGATATTGGATCCTTTCTTTAGATGTATTTTGGAGCCTTTAGTTAGGTAAAAAGAGCTAAAACCTGAAACCTTAAAAATATATGCTACCCCAATCGTGATTCCGGATTGACAAAAAAATTAAGAATCTTTTATGCTGCCTTGGTATATTGAGGGAAAAATCCATTTTTTGACTTCTCTTTAGGCATTAGCTACAAAATCGAGTGGAAGAACTGACAATAAATAACATATCCTTTTGGATGCAGTTTCACCGTCAGCTATTTTGAGTCGTTTTGCCCAAATGATCTCATTCTCTTCTGATTTCACGCAAAACCTATACTTATATAATATATCCATACATATATATATACACATATATGTGTTTATTTCTTCCTTTAATTGTAATTTTTGGCAATAATTATGTCTATTTCTTCCTTTCAATTCTTGGTAATCTGAGAAGTTTCCAATATGAGATCACGTATATTTCTTCCTTTGATTTCAATTTTTTTGCCATCTGATATGTTTCTTTCTTTTTTTCTATTTTTGGTAATCTCAGATTTTTCTGTTAGTAGCATTGTAGAGAGAAAGCAAATATGGTATTGACAACTGTATGAGTCCATGAATATGGAAGTAACCGGAAAAGAGAAGATCGGCAAACATGAAAATAGCCGGAAACTTGGCTAACCCCACTGACCTCTTCCTCCTCTTCAAACTCCGCTCCGACCACAGCGTCCTCGGCCACTAAAAAATCGGCTCCGTCTCTGTCCCCATCAAAGAACTCGTCGCTGGCACCCACCACCACTCCCTTTCTCTCGTCTCAAAACTCAACCCCGCGACTTGTCAAACCTCCGCCAGCCTCCTCCATCGAACCATCGACTACCACCTCTAGCCTGCCACCAAACCGCCCCCCTCGCTCCCACCATCCCTCCATCTCTCTCGTCTCCAAATTCCAAATTCCTGAGATCCATAATACAAATTCCAAATTCCAAATTCCAGATCCACCGAACCCACATCAGATTCTCCACTGCCTCTAGAAATTGAAACCTCCAAACCTAATTTCAGAGGGACTTATAACTTATTTTAGAAAAGGGTAGAATAGGAAGAGAAAAGGGCAAAATAGGATATTTAAATTTATTTTATGTTAATTTTGACAAAATGTGGTCAGAGGGGTTTATTTGCACCTTTTTTGAATTTTAGGGACTAAAATGCACATTTTCAAAAAGTAGGGACTAGTTCTGCACAAACCCTATATATCGGGGGGCTTTTTGCAGTTAACCCTAGGCATTAAAGGAATAAAACCGAAACAGAAAATCTGAAGTAACAAAAAGTGGAGGACAGAAATTAGTTAGAACTTTAATAGTTCAACCCACCACGCTGTGAAGTACAGCCTAAGTCCAGGAATACATTTACCAGATATCCTAATATTCCTCCCCTCCGAAGGATCCACAATTTAACAAACACGGCATACATTCATTAGCATACAATCATACCATCACCTTCCCAAAGAAAAATGTTCAACGTACCATCAGAACTGGAATCAGTCTGAAAGTGGCCCAGAAAGTAAAATGGAAAATAGGTGATTACACAATTCCAAATTTGATTTAAAAAGAACCTTTTTCAGAAAATAAAAAAAGAAAAAGAATTTGATTCACAAATTGCACAGCAACATGGATCAGTCCCGATCGGGACTCAGCCTGAATAAATTATTCAGTCCATAATATGAAAGCTTGGTAAAGACGTAGTAAGATTAAGAATATCAACTAAATTCAATTAAGGCTTGCAGTTGGGTAATCACATAAAGGAAAATTAAAGAAGGCTGATTAATCAATGTAATGATATGAACTATGGCTAAATTTATAGAATGTGCAATTAAATTTGAGTCAATGGATTTGGGTGTGATTTTGGGGCCATAGTGGTGTGTGATTGGGAGCAAGTATGGGAAATTAATTGGGTTCCATGTGATGCTTGTGATACTAATTGTGTATGTTAAGGTTTATGTGAATGATCAGAATAGCATGTTAATTGGAGTTTGTGAGTATTACATATATCAGGGTTCTTGTGATCTCTATGGTAGATTGCATGTAAGGGAAATTAATTGGGTTCCAGAGGACCATGTCTATTGTCAACATATAGCTTTGGGGTATTTAGTACGATGTCTTTGTGAGCCATGGATGTGAAGTCTGAACCATAATTGAGGACGAAGTGGATCTGGAGTCATATGATGCAAAGTGGATCTAATGCAATATGTTCGCGTTGACAAAATGACTAGTCAAATCCAAGAAATTATTTGCCCACGAGAACGATTGTGTTGTGATGCTGATTTGGGTCTATGGGACCATATGATGCAACATGGAATTATCGCCTGCGAGACCCTATGTGTTGTACTGTGGATCGGAATACATGGAGCTATATGATGTGAAGTGGATTTAGAGTCCATGGCATTGTTGTGACAAGGACATGGCAATATAATGTGCTAAGAATTGGTTTGTGCCACAAAAGCAGGTGGTGACTCTCACTGTACGTGGAGAGATCCTCTGGCACGATGAGCCACTAAAAGAAGAGTTGCAGTACGGATCTTTTTGGGATGCCAAACCTTTCAAGGCAACTAACATTATCCTCCAAGTAAACTGTACAAGCATCTTTCTCCAGGATCATTCTCCTGAGAACTTTTCCTGAAGTCATCCCTAACACACCGCCCCTGAGGTCTTCCAGGAGTCAATCCTAACACTGCAAATTGTCACTTTTCTAACCAACTGCCACAATCCATCTCAAACAAATACATGTCTAAATCTCATCCATCCCAATGCCAAACTAATCCAATATTCAGAGCCAAATACCACTAAACTCATACAAACTCATTTGTAGCCAAGACCACTACAATCCAACATTAACAACCAATCACAACACTAAATTCATATGAACTCGTACATATATTGCAAAATCATAGACATCCAAACAGCTATGCACTAATAAGAAATATCATATGAACTACAAATTCTCATGAATGTAATATCACATATATTAAAAAATTATAAATTTAAATTGATGTATGCCTTTCTCAGAACAAAATTAACTCCCATTCAATCCTTGTAGTCAGATAAAACCTTGTAATTCAAATCCCAGACCTATATGCACATCCATCCATGCCCATGCACAGACAACAGATTATGCATGTACTTACTACCATTCCAAATGTACCATGCAAGAAAATGAAATCACTAACACAAGCAAATAAATATATCCAGCAAGGAAAATAAACGTATTTACTATCATTCCTAATGGGTATTATTGTAATTTTTACTTATCACTAATATAACTATGTGGGTGTAGATATGTAACATTCTACAAATCCTACAGAAGGAAAGGCATGCAAATTAAAGAAGGTGCTTCATGGCTTGAAGAAGTCTCTAAGGGCTTGGTTTGACTGATTTCACAAGGCCGTGATCCACTTTGGGTACAAGATGGTATGAAAGTAATGCCAATCATACCATGTTCATCAAGCGAATTAAGGGCAAGATGACTGTCCACATTGTATATGTAGATGACATCGTGGTGACTGGAGATGATACTGATGAGGTGTTCAAGATGAAAGCTCACTTGGCCCAAAAGTTTGAGATTTAAGACTTAGAATTTACGGTATTTTCTTGGGATAGAGGTTGCAAGAATTTTTTATATTTTTTTTTTACCTTGGCAAGAAACACACTCACATACTTTTTGCCCACACCCGGGCCCGAACCTCTCCCCTCCTCAGTGATTTGGGTATCATTGATGATGGACCTGTGAGACTATATTGTGATAACAAAGCAGCCATTAGCATTGTGCATAACCTGGTCCAACTCGATAGAACGAAGGATATTGAGATTGACAAACACTTTATCAACGAAAAGTTAAATAATGGAGTGATTTAAATGCCCTTCGTGAAGTCAAGGATGTGTTCTCTAAGGGTTTGAGTAGTAATATTTTGTATTTCTATTTCTATTGTATGCACCAACTTGAGGGGAAGTAGTGGAATATGTGAAAATGCTCTTGTAACAGGCATAATAAGCAAAAAATTATAACGTGGGATGTTATTGTAATTCTTACTTATCATTCATATAAATATGTGGGTCTACGACCCTTTTTTTCATTGGTCACTTATTCTTTCTCTTATTTCTTCAAGCCCTGATCATCCAAAACCTAAAACACAATCAATATGTATTTCAACAGAAATACAATCATATATCCAGCAAGGTATATAAACAAAATAGACAACACAAGCACACAGGCAAGACATATAATCTGGGAGAATGGAAATAGCAATTTAGGAGAGAAGTTCCTAACCCATTGGAGTGTGTGCCTTCTTTTCTTATCCGCTGATGTTTTCCTCTTTCTTCTTTTATTTTCTTCTCTTTCTAGCTTCTCTTAATCTCTCCTCTCTTTTTTTCCCCTTTCTTTGCTGTCTACCAGTCATAAAACGTTGACCTAGGAATTGAGAGTTAAGACCCAAAGCCACTGGGACAAAGGTAGACCAATCTTATTATCTCTTTCCTTCTTATCTCCTTTTTCCTTTTATTTCCTATTTCCTTCCCTGCACTTATTATATAGGGTTGGGTTGCATGCGATGATGGAGATATTTCACCATCTGGATGGTTCATTAGTCTGAACCTCTGTCTCGTCTGAACAAACCAACTTTTCTAGATTTTCCACTTTTACCCTTGTTAATCTTTGAACCTTTGTACCCCAATTTAAGTTCTTCTAATTCCACATTTTCCTTTTATCCTTCAAATCCTAATCTGTAATAAAGGTCAAGATTATCATCAAAAAACCAAAGACAGACCTAACTGATTGATATTTATTTTGCACAAAAATAGCTGCACTCATGTTCGAAACAGATCCTCATTCCTCATTCTTTCCAGACCAATAATTTGCCACTGCACCAAAAAATGGCCCCTTGACTTGAAAATAAAACAAATTCATGCAATTATAAAAATACTATGAAAGATGAAAGCAGAAAGCAGAAAATCATATATGATAAAGGTTTTGCGAAAAACCATTTTGGGCTTCTACTCAGATTGATCCAAAAGTGAATGAAATCAATACAAGTTTATGAAAGTTACGAACCATGATATTTCTAGCAGGTAGTAATGAAGCCATGTAAAGCTTGATGCAGAAAGATAATAAGAATACTTCAATCTAAAAGGCTATCAGATACATTAATTATGCTACTACATGAATTTGTAGAGCCAAAAATGGAAAGAAGAAAAGCTACAACAAGAAGCAAACAAGATCCTAGCAGTCAAACAACAGATAAAAGAAAATAGAATCAGCAATATGCAGCCAAAAAGACTTCACACGTAAGAAAACCAGAACGGTGAAGAGACACAGCTTTTCGCAATTACCTTGAAAAGGTCTCCTGCAAAAGTAGCGGTTCAATAATTTCAATTGCACGCTTCGTTTCACTCTTCTCAACAGTTAGGTGAGGCTCCTTCCTAAAGCGCTTGGCTGTTCTTGATGAAGTTCCGTTCTTCTGATGTAATATAAAGTAAGTGCCACATATTTAATAATGCCAAAAGATTATTTTCTCATACACGACCCAAAATGTACAATCAGAGCTGCCTTATAATAGCTTCTTTTTTTTTTTTGTCTTTTGATAAGTGCATCATACTAGTAATATCATTGTCCGTTATTTCAAATATATATACTGTCATAATAAGTACCGTTCAGGTGTCTTTGAGTGATCATAGCAAGTGTTTTGTGAAGTATGTCAGCTAACGAGGCATATTACCTTATAGATGACAACATAAGTGGTAGAATTGGAAGAAAGCAGTTTGCAGAACAAGAGTCCCCCTCAAGGGGGGATTTGTTTTAATTATTATTAGTATTATCTTATGGACAGCACCCTTAGGAAGGATTTTGATGCTAGGCAATTTAAGGACGAGGCACCAGATTGTAATAAATTGGCGTTGTATGTGCAAAAGAGATGAGGAGTCCGTGAATCATCTCCTTTGCATTTCCCAATAGCTAGGGATGTTTGGGCTGTGCTCTTTGCTATTTTTGGTGTGCATTGAGTAGTGCCAGTTTACAAGGTGAGCATGCTTGAGGCGGTTTTTTTTTTCCTTTTATTTATTTTTTATTTATAAGTAATGATCCTGCTTGAGGCTTGCAGGGAATGTACAATGGGAAGACAATTTCAAGATGCTTGGAGGATAGCCTCTCTTTGTACGTGGTGTGGCTTGTGATGCAAGAGGAACATGAGGTCCTTCGATGATCTGGAAATTTCGGTGTTAAAGCATTTAAATTTGAGTTCTCTATTTTAGGGCTAAAGGGCAGCCTTGCAAATCTGTGGAGGACTTTGTAGATTTTGTGGATAAAGAGTATATAGAGTATAGAGTTGGCTTCTTTTGTGTGTAGTTATTCTTAAGATATGCTCCCCTTTGAGTGCTCTTTAATGAAATCTTATTTATAAAGAAAAGAAGAAGAAAAAAATAGATCAGAATGGATAAAATGGAGGCAAGCTAGTCGTGTCTCATGAGATAAAGAATATCATGCAAGTATAGAGGAAAAGCTACAAGACGGACACTAGGCCAGCTCTCAGATAAAACAGAAACAAGAACAAAGTAATGTAACTATAATGAGAATGCTGAGATGGATGATCAAAGTGACAAGAAGTGATAGGGTGAATGATCAACATGTGAAGGAGAAGTTAGGATTGGAGCTTATTAGTTATACAATAATGAAAAAAAAGGCTAGGTTCGTGTAGACACATACAATGTAGATTGTAGACCCATGGACCACCAGTAAGGAAAGGTAGATTAGTTTCCTTAAAAGTAACATACTATATAGTCATTAGAAATAACTTTTAAAAAGTAATATAATAGGGCAGTTGGTGTATGATAAAATAAAAAATAAAAAAAAGAAAGAAAAAATGGAATCATAGTATTTAATCATGAACCTGAAAAAATGGCTAGTATAATTATGAGTATACATTGCCATTTGAGCACATATGAGTAAGCATGTTTGTCCATCATTCAATTTCAAATCATAATCATGGAGCTAACACAAATAGAGAGACATAAAAGTAGCACAGTTAGTTACCTTAATCAATTCTTCAACCTCAAGAGGAGGGATATCAATCATATCATTATCATCACTATCATTGTCGATGTCATCCTCTGCAAGCATGAAAACAAAATTAAGTGTCAATGCATATAGAAAGGCTAAAATGCATACTAATTACGAGAAGAAAAATAGGGCTTAAAAGTTATGGCAACTTCATATTATAGTTTATTATAGCCGCAAAAGTAATAGTACAAACAATTCTGTGAATATGTGATGTCTGTGTTGGACATGTATCAAATACCGACATGTGTGTTGATAATGGAGCAATCAACAAATTTACAATTAAGTTATCATTTCCAAATTCCACAGTTAGATGACATGTTGCATGGGGAAAAAGTCTTCAACCAAATTGATCTGAAGAGTGGTTATCACCAAATCAGAACTCGCAATGGTGGTGAATGGAAGACATCATGTAAAACGAAAGATGAGCTCTACGAGTGAATGGTGATGCCTTTTGGGTTGTCAAACACACCCAGCACCTTTTTGCGTTTGATGAATCAAGTTTTGAAGCCATTTATTGGGAAGTTTGTAATGGTGTATTTCGATGACATTTTTTATTTACAGTCTATCATAAGATTCTCATTGGCAGCACCTAAGGGAAGTATTAGAGGTTCTACATTAAGAGAAACTGATTCCATTACATTATGCCGATACCTATTCCGTTACACCTGCAAATGCAAACCATGGCATACATACATATTCACGGTATAGATTTACAGAACGTCTGTGACTTAATAGCAACTTTGACTCTAAAGTAGGTTTTTCAGTGAAGTCCTTCGATTTTCTAATAGCACATTATTTGTTCTACAAATATGCAGATAACGAAAGGTGAAAATTGAAACCAAAATGCAACATAAGAAATTGAAGAGGGTTGGCATTGGCATACCAGAACCGGAATCCCTGTCCGAAGATGACGATGTGTCGAGAAGGACGGAGGAGAGAAGTTTTCCTGCACCGGTAGCGATCATCCGCGTTGCAGGGAAAACGAGTCCGGTGAACCAATGTGGGTGGTTTTGGGGAGGAGTTGGGCGGTCGTAAGGGCTTTTCGGAGCGGCCATTCGCCTGTCTCTCACCATTTTTCCACCGGATTGGCGAGCCCTAAAAATGGTGGACATTGTTTGCGACGCCAGTAGTGGAGAGAGAAAAGTTTGTGCAGGCTACTTCAAGCAGGCATTTCCAATTCATCTCGGAGGGGACTGGGGAGTGACTTCTGCTGCAAATGCAAGTTGCAGTATAATGACAAGGCTGTACACACTGGTTTGGACAAATTACACTGATATCCCCTATAGTTTTGACAAATTACATACGGTTGATCATTCAGCATTTACTACTTTAACCTCCCTCCATTTTTAAGTGGCCGAAAAATAACTTTGAGTGTAAAAAGTCAAGTAATATCCTGATTTTCATAGAAGGAATGACATGATTTTCATATAAGAGAAGAGTAAACTTGTCATTTTATAAAATTTAGTCAATAGGTTTGTTGAGAAGAAAATATAAGGAGTGTTGTTAAGCACATGCGTCAAATCTCAATAGAGGTCAAAATAATAAACGTTGAACGATGTATTCGTGTGTAATTTATTCAAAGTTCATACGAGGTTAGAGTAATTTATCCAAAAAATTAAATTTGAGAATTCAAGCTCTTTGAGTTTAAGGGAACCAATATCAATTTAACTTGTTGTGTGAGACTTTTTTTCTATTGAAACAGGTTTATAATCTTCTTAACAAGGTTAGAGACGGTGTGAAAATAAAGTTTAAAGTTGGACAAGTATCGAATTTGTATAAATTAATAATAATGGTATCAATAAATATTTTTTATTAGTTATATAAAAAAATTATTTATTTATTTATTGATAATTTTAACAATATTCTTTTATTATGATTGTTAAGTATTTTGTTCGTATTTAAATTGTTTTTGCAAATTTTATCTTAAATGTGTTGATGTTTAAATTATTTTCTTACAAAAATATGTATTCCAACCTTACGAGATGCTTGAATCCGCCCCAACATTAATATCGGGCGAGTTTAGGAAGAGCCCCAACATTAATATTGGGCAAGTTTAGGAAGAGCTTTTTATTTGTGAAACACAGTTTAAAATATGTTATGCATTAATAACAGCCAAAAATAGCTTTAATCTTACAAAAATGAGAATCAAACTACAAATTAGAGAGATCTAGGCACTCATGGAAGAACAGATGAGCTACAAATGTTACAGGTACTGCCTTAGCAAACAAATACTCTGATCTCCAAGCTAGACACATGAAGTTGTTAAGATTAAACCAAATATCAAACATATCTACTACTAAAAGAACATTTTATCACAGTATTACATGTCTAAAATCTTTAACCAACATTTGAAAAATTAAATTCGAGTATTTGATGAAGAACTAGCCATTTGTATCTCGTATTTGGTCATGATTGGAGTCGAGTCCTTGTACCAATACGAATTCGTTCCCTCGCTTGTTGAGTAGTCTGAAGTGTTGCCAGTACCGGTCACAGGATTGAGCATGCTTACCGAAAACAAGTAGTGAAATGGTCTAGGAGGCGGCTTTATGTCCACTCCTCCCTCCAACATCTTCACCACAGCACTCATTGGAGGCCTAGCCTCTGGCGAGTCTTGAGCACACCACAATGCTACCAGACACATTCTCTCTGCTTTCTCCCTATCCTTCTCTTCAATCCCACAAGACACTGTCATTGCTGTTAATTTGTTCTTCTCATATTCGTCCCAAACATGTTTCGGAAACCAATTAAGGCTATCAGTAGAACCAACTTCAGCATTCCTCCTCCTTCCCACTATCTCAAACAATAACATACCATAGCTATAAACATCACATTTGTACGTGATGGGAAAATTCTTGAGTTGAAACTCCGGTGCAGAGTAACCGGGAGTCCCCCTATATCCTGTCATAGAAATGTGAGTGTCATCTCTATTACAAAGCTTTGCTAGTCCGAAATCTGCAACCTTAGGATGGAAGGTTTCGTCGAGGAGGACATTCCCGGGCTTAATGTCATAGTGAATAATTCTTTGCTCGCATTCTTCGTGCAAATAAGCAATGCCTTTGGCTGTGCCAATTGCAATGTCATATAACTTTTCCAACTCAATTGCTTGTGTGTCCTTAAACAAGTACTTGTCAAGTGATCCGTTTTCCATGTACTCATACACCAATGCACTCATGAAATGATCATAGCAAAATCCGTAGAGCCTGACTAGATTCATGTGGTAGGTTTTGCCAATAATGGCAACCTCGGCCGTGAATTGCTCTTGAGCTGTTCTGTCTGAGCTTCTGTTGAGGACCTTCACTGCAATCTTCATTCCAGTTGGAAATTGTCCTTTGTAAACTATCCCGAAACCACCACGCCCCAACGTTGTCGAGTAATTATTCGTGAAGTTGCATAGCTCCTGAGCTGTGAATCGAACCGGTTTGTCTCCTGCCAGGTCTTGGAGGATCCTCTGCATTGTAGGTCCATCGACTTGCCAAACTTGAATTGCATTGAGTGGTGGTGGTGGAGCAACTGCTACTTGTATTTCTGTTATGATTGCTTTTCTCATCTTCCTTGCACAATAGCAAGAAACAACGCCGATAAATGCCAGTATTATCAAACTCACCATTATGGCTGCAAATTCAAACAATTCCAAAATGGTGACTTTCAAGGCTCAATTTGATGTCAATGAAAATTAATGCTACTCTTTTTCTTTTCTTTTTTTTTTTTTTCTTTTTTTTCTTCTTGTTAATCCTTCATTTCTATGGAGGAACTTACCAGCTGCTCTTGTCCCACCACTAATACCTGATGGAAGAGGAGGATTGTCGGAGTTGGAGACGCCTGTGGACATCTCTGAGAGCAAAAACAATATGAACTATTCAACCCGGTTTTGTGTTCATTTGTGTTCATTTATAATGAATGTAATATCTTACTGTATTTCTAAATGTCAATTAACCTTTGTTGTTAGTTTTAACTTCATGCCGAAAATATCTATACATGTAACTATGGCAACTAGTACCATTTGATTCAACCTATGAATGAGCAGTGGTACAGAGAGATGCCAGATTGACTCAAACATAAAATAAAATTTGTATGCAAGTATTTAGTTTGAATTCAATTTTTTCTTTTTCTTTTTATATATCTTAAGATCGAAAAATATCTATACATGTAACTATGGCAACTAGTACCATTTGATTCAACCTATGAATGAGCAGTGGTACAGAGAGATGCCAGATTGACTCAAACATAAAATAAAATTTGTATGCAAGTATTTAGTTTGAATTCAATTTTTTCTTTTTCTTTTTATATATCTTAAGATCGAAAAATGAGTTAGTATCGGCAAAAAGAGAATAAATGTTATAAGAATCTCTTGGTCCCTTAGTCACTGGCATAGTATGAGACACATTTCTAGATGTTCCTGGTTTTTAACATTTTTACCAAACCTGGTTAGGGTTTGATTTATAAAACATAGAAGAAACAGTTGATCAGTACGCAAAAAGGCTAAGTTAATACTTATATGAAGTAACAAGAAAATAGCACATTAAATATAATCAAAGTTAAATGAACCATCAGTTATTCAAGCCAAGTTGATACTCAAATGAACCATCAGTTATTCCTCTTCTTACCAAATTCTCACTGCAAACCAATCATTCAAAACTAAAATGGACACAAGAGACCTAAAAAAACACTAAATAAATAAAATTAAATTAGATTCCAAGTGTGGTAAAAGTGTAAAACAAAATTTGATTTCCTAATTTCCGATAAATTCAAGCTGATACAAAAGCCGGCCTCCTCAACAAAATGTCTGCATCACCATGTATAAAACCAAAAAGAAAAAATAAAATACAATTACACACACACACACACACACACATATAGATAGATACATACATACATACATATGAATCCCTTTATCATTCTAAATCTCACTTACGCAAAGTTCTTGTGGACTCACACACACGCATATATATAGAAATATAAATTTAATTCTATTTTGTTTTTCTTATGAACTGGAAAACTAGCTTGAGAGCATGCACAAACATACAACATCAATGTACAACCATTCACCAAAAAAATAAAGGGAAAAAATCAGAAAAGTAAGAGCTTAATAAATGGACAACCAACCAAGTTTAGTAAAATTAAGGGCAATTAATTCACCAAACTTAATTAAATTGAAGTTTGCAATATACATGTGTGTGTGTGTGTGTGTGTATAAGAAGAAGAAGTTGAAGTCACATACCAATCAACAGTGAGGTGAGTTAGCGAATGAAAAAAGGCTGGGCAGTAGAGCAAGACTTATCCTTTCCTGGACTTCAAACCTCTTTAAATATATCCTCATAGAAGAAAAAATCAAAAGAAGAAAAAAAAAAAAAAAAAAAAAAATGTTTGCATTATTTTAAGGGAAATTTACCATCACCTTCCTAGTTCATAATCAAAGAAAGAAACCAAATGAAATATAAATATAAAAAAAAAATGGTCCTATTTTCAATCCCAACTGTCAATTATTGTTCATCAATGAGATCGGTTGGTTGATGAACATATGTCACTTTCGTAATTCCATATCAATTTTCTTATATCCTCATAGAAGAAAAAATCAAAAGAAGAAAAAAAAAAAAAAAAATTGTTTGCATTATTTTAAGGGAAATTTACCATCACCTTCCTAGTTCATAATCAAAGAAAGAAACCAAATGAAATATAAATATAAAAAAAAATGGTCCTATTTTCAATCCCAACTGTCAATTATTGTTCATCAATGAGATCGGTTGGTTGATGAACATATGTCACTTTTGTAATTCCATATCAATTTTCCCATTAGTCAACCCACAAAAAAAGAAGTTTCGCGGAAATAAAGATAACGCGTCTTAAAAAGGATTACTTGGAATATTGTCGTTGAAACGAATTTATCGTTCACATTTAAAGTAGTAGTCAAAGTCAATGATGAAAATATTTTCATTAGATAAATCCTTAATAATAATTGTCAAATCAACTTTTTCTGTTTTATTATTTTGACGTATGTCCCAAGTCTGAACAAATTCATTCAGACGCGTACAGTTTTCTTACTCCATTAAACTATGACCCAAACAAAAGAGGGCTAAGAATTTTAATTAAATAAAAGTAAGGGAACCAATTACCAACGTACATTGAATAATAAAAATATGAAACTACTTCAACCACAATAATTTGAAAATGTCTGGAAACTCAAATTTTGAGTGAGATATATAACTCGTCTTTCTAAAATTATAAGAAATTTTTAATGATGATAGTAGTATCGAACAGACGCAATCTTATATCTCACTTGCCTCAGAAAAATTATCAAAAAAATTCTGAGAGTGATCTCAAGGTGCCATTGCCATGAAAGTACACTTAATTCTCCAAGAAAGTACAGTTTGCAGGGGCCAGAGCACATGCCCCCACTAAAAAAAAAAATTTAGTATTATTATATATATATATATTTTTTAAAGTTCAAATATGCCCCCATTGAAGAAAAAATAATAATAATACACCAAGGGCTGATTCGGCATATACCTGCAATACAACTCCAGTCTCCATGTGCTTTCATTCTTTTTATTTTGTATTAATATAAATAATATTTTAATGATTGAATGACCTTTTCTCCACTCAATGATGCATTGATACTTAGACATACTTTTTGGTTTATTTGGAAAACAATTTTTGCATTCTTTATTCCGTAAAAAACAACTCCAGAAGGCATAAAGTATAAGGGCCAGTTTGGAAGGCCAAAATGATATTGGTTTTGGTGTTTTGGTTTTGGTTTTGGGCCCATATCTCGTTTGGTGTGGGCTGATGTGGTATTGAATAGTGTCAAAACAATACTAGATTTGGGCCAAAACCCAAATCAAGAATTTGGTAATGTTGGTTGATTTTGCACTAGAGCGGCGATATCAGATTGGGCCAAACACTGTAGCGCTGGTATCAAGTGATACCAAACACTGTAGCGGTGATATGAGGTATAAAATCTAATTTTTCTCTAATTAGGTCATTTGTGCCTCTCGTTTCTCTCTCTTCTCCCGCATGTATGAGAGGCGATTTGGGGCGATTCATGTCTACCTTTGATATACAAAGGTTGTGCTTGCAGAAATTCGAGAGTTTGTAGATCCAACATAAAACCAGTCGGGCTGTCGTACCTCTCTGTTGTCTGATTTGTCTCTGTTTTCGCGCATCTATTTGACGCGATTTTTGGGTTTCAACTTCAACCCTAATGTTGTTCAGTAGTTGTGCGATCTGTTCCTCAGTTGTGGCTCTCGTACCTCTTTGTTGTGTCATTTCTCTCTGTTTTCACGCATCTATGTGACGCGATTTTGGGGTTTCAACTTCAACCTTTCAGTTCAGTCGTTGTGCGAGGTAGTTCGAGGCTTTTGTGCAACCAGGTTTTTGAAGGAGTTGCAGGTAACACCACTACCAAACCCTAACCCTAATTAGGACTGTATTTATTTATGTGCAAGTAGGTCTTTGTATGTATTCTCGATTTCCAGTTTCTGTATGTGGGATTTTTTTTTTAATTATGTTATTTGTATTCTCGATTCTCAGATTTATATTTGTTGTCTGATTTGTCTCTGTTTTCGCGCATCTCTTTGACGCGACTTTTGGGTTTCAACTTCAACCCTAATGTGTTCAGTCGTTGTGCGATCTGTTCCTCAGTTGTGGCTCTCGTACCTCTTTGTTGTCTCATTTCTCTCTGTTTTCAGGCATCTGTGTGACGCGATTTTGGGGTTTCAACTTCAACCCTTCAGTTCAGTCGTTGTGCGAGGTAGTTCGAGGCTTTTGTGCAACCAGGTCTTTGAAGTTGCTGCAGGTAACGCCACTACCAAACCCTAACCCTAATTAGGACTGTATTTATTTATCTGCAAGTTCTCGATTTCCAGTTTCTGTATGTGGATTTTTTTTAATTATGTTATTGGTATTCTCGATTCTCAGATCTATGTAGGGAATTTTTTTTCCTTTTTAAAATTAGAAATAAATTTTTTTAAATTAAAATTTTAATTTAACTAATTTTCAGAGATATGAAAATCAGAAACTAGAAACTGGAAATTGATGCAACAACGTTCTATTTTTCATATCTTTTTGTGTTGTTATTTATAGAGAATTATAACATTATGGGTAATAATTGAGTTTCTTTCATTTTGCTTTTGATTCTTATGAATTTAGATTCACTGTTAGATCTTATTGCGTTTTCATTATTGGTTCAAAACTTGACGATGCCGCTCTTGCTTTTGATTCGGTTAATTGATTTTAAGCTTCCAGTTTTGTTTAATGACACATGTTGAGATAGCCATTGCACTGGTTAATGACTCTATTTTTTTTATTTTTTTTTTTTCCAGTAAATTCTCAATTTTAAATTTTGTTTTTAACCCCCCTAACTTTCAGATTCTGGCTCCACCCCTGCTCATTTCATTCTCTCTTCCGCTCTACTCCCAAAATTGTAACCTGTTGACTCTTTTATTTATTTATTTTTTTAAAGATTGTAATTGTTGACTTGTTATTTTTTATATGTATATGAACTATAAAATAGAAAATTCTGACTATAAATAGCATCTCATGAAAAATGTGATAGCCGGTTAATATTTACAGTGGAGTAGTATTTTGTAACTTCCACCCTTCCTAAATTGTAAGCAGAATTAAAAAATACTCGTATAAGCTTATTTCTAATACAAGTTCTCTTTTATACTGATTATATATGTATATATACATACTTAAATCTCAAAATACGAGACAACTCATTAAAATGCACATCTTAAAAAAAAGTTTATAAATCCAAAGATAGTTGACCACACAATCTCAAGTTATTAATTATGTCGGTTTCGTTATGAAACTCAAAAAATTTAAAAGATTAAATTTACATGATCATAACCATAACTAGTTTGAGACGCAGAGCATACTTATGATTTTTGTTAGGCAATGAACTAAATTCATGCTTGTTGTGCAATGAGGAGAGGCATCCATTTGAAATCAGAAATATATGCAATTATAATCAACATATAAATTACGTTAACTGCTCTCACAAACTAACATACAAGGTAAAAAATTTAAGAGAATAAAATTTTATCTAGTCTACCTTATTCAACAATCTCTTTCAATCTTTTTAGTATCTATAAAAGATTAAAATATGTTTAAGTTGCATGAGGAACCTAATGCTATCATGAAATTTTTTGCTTTTGATCTAATTGCATTCACTAATCAACCAAAGTTTATCAAATGAAATTTTGTCACTACCTTTGGAAACATAGAATACACGAGTTGGAGTTAGAAACCTAAAGATTGAATTAAGTCAGTCCACAAATTCAATTCTAAGGCATCAATTGCTGCTATCAATTAGAATTATATAAACAATTTTGTTATTTTGTTTTTCTCTAATCTTATTCACGTATTTGGTTTTGCATGAGGTTATTTACACTCCAAATTTGCACCTTAGCCTGAAAAAAGGTTAGATTTATCTTCTGCTTGTTGGAGTAGTTTAGATGGAGAACAGGCAATTTTCTTAGATTTGTGGATTAATTTTGCGGGCAGTGTCCCTTATTAGATTGATTGAATGAATTTTGTGGGCGATGCCCTTGTTGAATTAATTTTGATTAATTTTGTGGGCGGTGTCCCTTATTGAATTGATTGAATGAATTTTGTGGGCGGTGTCCATTGTTGAATTAATTTTGTGGGCGGTGTCCATTGTTGAATTAATTTTGTGGGCGGTGTCCCTTGTGTTTATTGTGTTAGGAGAAATTTTGTAAATGTCAATTTTTAAGGGGAAACCATGCCGGATTTTCGAAAATTAAAAAAAAAAACTTTGATTCCAAAAAGGCATGTGGTTGATTTTTTAAACTTGAAATGGAATTTTGTTGTTTCAAGGCTTAGTAGAATGCAGCTGTTCCATGGGAAAACCTAACTCTGGTTTATATTTTGCTACTATAGTTAATGTCTTGCTTTTGAGTGTAAATTCACTTTTTTCTTTTTTCCTAATGCTTTCTTATATCATTTTTTGTAAAATCATAAACTATTGTCAACCCAGTACCATGTAATCCATATATGCTATTGGAAGAACTGGCACTACATTGAAGGACATGGCAGTAAGTTGTGGGCAGTGGCACCAGTGGGATTTATAGGAAGCATTCTCCAGTTTCTACAACTCCAGGAAGCTAGTGATCTCTAAGTTAATCAAATGGAGGCCTATGCAAGTATAAAGAAGTGTGTGTACATTTTATGAATGAATATAAGTGATCTCCAGTTGTGTGTACATTTTATGTAAGTATAATAAAGTGTGTGTACACACATACTATTTTTAAGGAAATTCTAGCTCCCTATGTGCAAGTTTATATGTGAATGGTGCAACAACAATTTATTAAGTTTGTGATGTACAAAAAAAACTTGTGGTTTGGTGTGTTATTTATGATTGATTAAAATCTTACTTAGTACTGTTAAATTACTTCATTCCTACCATGTGTTATTTTGTTTATCTCTAATGTTGTTCATGTGTTTGGTTTTGCATGAGGTTATTTACACTCCAAATTTGCAACTTAGCCTGAAAAAAGGTTAGATATATCTTGTGGTTGTTGGAATAGTTTAGGAGGAGAACGGACAATTTTACTTGGATTTGTGGATTAATTTTGTGGGCGGTGTCCCTTATTGAATTGATTGAATGAATTTTGTGGGCAATATCCCTTGTTGAATTAATTTTGTGGGCGGTGTCCCTTGTTGAATTCATTTTGTGGGCGGTGTCCCTTATGTTTATTGTGTTAGGTTTAATTTTGGAAATGTCCATTTTTAAGGGGAAACCATGTCGGATTTTCGAAAAAAAAAAAAAATTGGAATTTAAACTCTTATTCCAAAAAGGCATGTGGTTGATTTTTTAAACTTGAAATGGATTTTTAAAATATATGACGGTAGGAAAAATGTAAAATATATAACTGTGAAACATATAACAATTTTTCAGGCTTAGTAGAATGCTGCTGTTTCATGGTGGAGTTGAAGAACATGGCAGTAAGTTGTGGGCAGTGGCACCAGTGGGATTTATAGGAAGCATTCTCTAGTTGCTGCAACTCCAGGAAGCTAGTGATCTCTAACTTAATCAAATGGAGGCCTATGCAAGTATAAAGAAGTGTGTGTACATTTTATAGAATGAATTTTAGTGATTTCTAGATGTAGGTGTGTACATTTTATGTAAGTATAATGAAGTGTGTATGTACACACATGCATACTTTAAAGGAATGTCTAGCTCTCTATATGTGCAAGTATATATGTGAATGGTGCAACAACAATTTATTAAGTTTGTGATGTACCAAAAAAACTTGTCGTTTCATGTCTAGCTTCCTTGATTGCTTGCTTCTAACAATATTCCTATTTATCAATTCTAGTTATGGTTGGAGATTGTATGAAATATTTAGAAGTTGGTTATCAAAATAAATACTTAGGAAAGGGGGAAATGGTCTCATGAGTTAATAATAAAAATATTATCACTTTCAAGGATCTCCAACAGAAAATTTCAAACTAATCTCAGTGAAGTAAACCCATTCACAAGCTTCAATGTCCACCAAATCTCAACTTTGACCAAATCAAGAAGATCAACGTTTTGGCTTTACTTCTTGTTAGTTTCAACTACAAGGATCTCTCTCTCTCATTCATAATGAATTTATAATATATATATATATATATATATATATATATATATATATATATGAAACAAAACAAAGTTAAATGGAGCGCAAACCAAAAGAAAAAGATAAATGGAGTGCAAATATCCGCTCTCATTGAAAGATTATTACAAAGTTAGATTTGTACTTTGATTGCCACTAATCATGTATATGCCTCATAAATATCCCACATGCTCTTATTGATACATGTAAATTTATTCATAATTTTTTTTTCCCCAACTCTTTAATGCAGAATATTTTTATTTTTTTTATTTTAACAAATTATCTCAAATTATAAAGAAAAATGGACTATTACATGTAAACTTATAATTGTATTCATATATATAATTATTCAAAACAAAAACAAAACAGTCTTTACCAAACAGGTGTTCTGTTATTGATTCAGAATTTTTGAAAACAAAACTAACTTCCCAAACGTGTTTTGTTTTCGAATTCCTTAAATGCATGACATTAGCAAATGCGTTTTCATATTTTTGATATACAATTAACAAAAACAAAAAACACGTTACCAAACATGGATCCGATTTCTATTAAAAACATACCAATACCAAAACGGTTGTTTTCATATCATACCAAACCGTAACATAAAACGCTATCACGATCCAAACGGGCCCTAAGTCATTAAGTCAACTTTCAGTTTTCATCTAGTTTTGGAAAGAAATTCCAAATCTCCGTTGAGGACTTAGGAGAAAAGATCAAAGATCCACTCTTTGATTTACAGGTAAAATTTATTTTATTTTATACAATTTAGATACCTGATTTATTTTATACAATTTACAGGTAATACTTATTTTTTTTATACAATTATATAATTTACATAATTTAGTTTTTATTTATTTTTATTTTTTTTACAATATGTGGTTTTTTTATACTATGTGTCAACGATTTTGGGTTTGACTTTTGAGGGCTTGAATTTCAAAAATTATGGTTCCAATTTACTAATATTTAGGGTTTCAATTTCTAAAAATTATGGTTCTAATTTACAAATGTTTATTGTTCATTTATCCCATAAAATATATTAAAGGGGAGTCAGGAAACTAAGTAGTTAATTTGCACATTGGAAAATTGACATGTATGCAGTATACAATATGTTGTATGTTTAATAGTTATTAGTTAATATGATATATGGACATAATGGACTCAGTAATTGCAATTTACAATTACAAGTTTACAACCAATTTTTTGCGTGATTCGTGAATTTTTGCGTGTTTAATAGTTATTAAAAATTGACATGTATGCAGTATACAATATTTGAAATTTTCATTATCATTACCGAAAAACATCTTGTTAATTTGCTTGTTAGTTTAAGATTGAATTAATTAAATGAAATCTTGTTTTCTTTGGTTCTCAGGATTCACAAAGTGCTTGGACTTAGAGATGGAGTATGATTTTTTTTTTTTTTTTTTTTTCTGTCAAATACACTACGCCCCCTCTCAAATGAAATCTTGGCTCCGCCCTTGACAGTTTGTACTCTAACCCACACTAACTCCTGACCTTTGACCAGACTTAGTTGGTACATAAACAAAATTTGGAGAAATTTCTGTGTTATTATAATATATTGATCAAAATATTTGTGGAAATTACAATGTACAGGGAATACAAGTTATAGGCTGATTTAAAGGAATTTCGTTATCTAAAATGCAATGTGGGTGTATGAGTTTTTTTGTTGTGATTAAAAAAAAAAAAAAAAGTACAAAGACACGTGATTGCAAAGCTTCTCAATTATTATTAAGCATAACTAATAATTTTGCAACTGTGTATTTTATCTGACAGGTGAGGAAAATAGATTACTTGAAAAAATTGAGACTCCTCTTATTCAAATTCAAAGAAATATTGAGAATGCAGTCTCTTGATGATTGATGGACATGAAAAAACAGAAGCCCAATGGGTATTACAAATTGCTATTGAATGCTCAATTTTTCAAAGCCCTTTAGTTATGGGCCTTTCTTTATAGTGAGTTTGAAAAAAAAAAAAAATTGAACCCTTTAATACAGTTGAAACAATCCCAAATCTGAATAGAAAATAAAGCCTATTGAGAACAAAAATATTAGGGTTAATTCCATCTACACCCCCTGACCTTTGGCCATATTCCACTTACAACTCATCTACGTTTCAAAATTCCACCTACCTCCCCTGTGTGTAACCGCCGTCTACTTTACTAACGGAACTTAGTGATTTTACAATTTTACCCATCAATTATATATGAATATCTATCCATAGATTGTTTATAAAATTCAAAGACCAAAATGCCCTTTAATTATCCATTTAAATGAATATTTAACAGGCCCTTTCTTCCATCACCATCGGTTCCTCCCACCACCGTCTTCTTCTTCAACAGCCACCACTATCTCAAAAAGCCATAGCCACAACCCCTCTCAACCTCCTCCGACGACCCAACAACATGCTTCAGTTTGGTGAAGCTACAAGCATGCTTCAGTGCGGCCAAACGATGACCCAACAACGTGCTTCAGTCCGGTGAAGCTACAAGCGTGTTTAAGTGCGGGCAAACAATGACCCAATAATGTGCTTTAGTACGGTGACGCTACAAGCTTCCTTGATTTACCTCGGTGAAACCCAGTACAAGACAGCCATGGACTCACCGGAGCTCTGTAACTTTGTCGGCATTGTTGGAATTACAAGCTTTAGCGCCAGTAGGATGTTGCCATTGCCAACCATTCAAAGCTCAGAGCATCGCCGTCCTTTTTATCCGCTGGCCTAGTCACAGTCCGCCTCACGCTTGATTTTTCATTCCCACCAAACAGTCTCGTCGGCGTCCTCCATTGAAGTATTGCAACATTCATGATCCACCTCACATCGAACATTTCATTCCCGCCGAACAGTCCCACAGGAGTCCTCTGATGAGAGCTGAAAAGTGCGCTTTTAAACCCCTTAAGCTAGAGTATTCTAGGACCTTTATCTATCTTATTTTTTCATTTTAGACTAATTTCGTGTTATTTCCTTTTTTAGGTCAATAAAGTTAAAACGAGCTAAAAATTACTTCTTAAGGCCTTTTTGGAGTTAAACTAAGTCTTGGAGAGAGTTTAGAGCAAAATGAGGCTGATCTGGAGCAAAAAGAGGCTGATATTGAAAAGTTGCCAAGTGAGATCGATCGAACTCTGATCGATTTAACTTTTCTCTAATCGATCGAAAATGTGCTGGCAGTGAGCTGTTTTATTCCCGAGCGCGCCGATTTCTACCTATCAAAAAGTTGCGGGATTAGATATTTTTGGGCTATATTTCTGACTTAGTGACTAAGAAAAGGACCTTATATTTAAAGGGAATTGAACCATTTTGTAAAAGGAGCTTTTTATCATTTTACTTTTACATTGTAATTTTTATTTTCTCTCTAGAAAAGTTAGAGATTAGGGTTAGAAGAAAAAAGAAGAGTGGAGGCACATCTCTAGATCTATACACGCTCTCTCTAGAATTCATCAAAGAAGAAGCGGAAGAAGATTGAGCCATGTTTGGGGATTGCCCTTGAGGGTTCCAAGATCACATCTACCTTCTCCATGATTGGCTAGACTTCTCCTTGGGGCTTGGATGAGCCCCAAGTTTATAATCTAAACTTCTATCTTTTTCATACTTTTTGGGGAATAACATCTTGTAATTAGTGTTCTAACCTTGTGAATTTAATGGATCTTGGTATATTTCTATGATTTCTATGGTTTAATTCTTCTTATTAATTCTCTAGTTTATTTACATGCCTATGTGTGATTAAATTGGGAATTATGTCTCACATGATTCATATGGATTAATTCTTTCTATTGATTTTCGATTTTAATTACATGTTGTCTTATGTGTGATTATTTGGGAATTGATCTCTGCATTAGTTTTTCTATATTAATTGCATGTCCATGTGTGGTTGATTGAGAATCTAGTGATGGCTAGACATGGTTTTTATTAGATGGGTTTGTCAATTAATTTGATGGATTATACTTATTCTTGATGGGTTGTTTTACAATTTAATTTATATTTATAGGTAGGTAGACAATCTTTACTTGCTTTGATTTTCCAAGGCTTATTATTGTAAATTCCATAATTCTTTAAATTGATGTGTGCTACAATTGTGACTAGTTTGAAGGGTCATGTTTAGAATTGATGGGTTGTGCTACACTTAGTTTATTTGTCGGTTAGGTAGACAATTCATTCTTTAATTTGATAGTCCATGCTTAATATTGCAATTGGTAGTCACATTTTGTTCACAAGAATGTTTTCCCCAAATTAGTTGAAAGTGTGTGGTTTGGTGAACAAGCTTGGTGGTAATTCCAATAGGTCCCAAGACCTTTCTTTATATCTCTTAAATCCATATCTCTTACTAGTTTACTTTAATTGCATTTTAATTTCTTTGCATCTTAGTGTAATCAAATAAACAACACTCCTTTGCAATCTTTTGATACGCTAGAGTCGAAGTTAAATTCCAGCACGTATAATTTCTGTGGACGATCCCTACTCACTATACTTCATTAGTTGTAGTAGTGGTTTTTATAAATTTAAATTTGACCTTCTAAGCTTCCGAAACCACATTCATATTTTGACCTTGCGAAGCGACCTCTCGCATTAAAAAGTTCACTTTCTAAACACTTGGAAAAAGGCTCGCCATCCTCCAAGCAACACATTGATCTCGTCGTCCACTCGACCACTCACGAACCCTCAT